AAAAAAAAAAAAAAAAAAAAAAACAAAAAAAGGTTGTTCCCTTTTTTTTGGGGGGGGGGGGGGTGGCGGGGTTTTACATCACAATATAAATTCCGCTACCTGCCAACCTCTGACTGACATAACATATAGGCCGTGGCTACGCGACCGGTTCCGGACGAGGAGCCGCTAGCCTACGCGTCCGGACATCCAATTCACACAGTGATCTTGCGACAAGTACACACATGATTGCGCAACGGTAGTCTCTGCTGATTGCCGAGTGTGTGTGTGCATGCGACAGAGAGAGAGGGAATTTGTATGCGTGTGTGCACGTGTGTGTGTGTGCGAGCGCACGTGTGTGTGTGTGTGTGTGAGAGAGAGAGAGAGCTAGAGGTGTGTGTGAGAGAGATAGAGCTGTGCGTGTGTGTGTGTGAAAGAGAGAGAGAGAGCGAGAGAGGACGGATGGAAGGATAGACGGCAGCAGTGCATATATTGTATATTTTTGGCAATCAGCAGAGCGCCCCGTTACATGCGTGTACGCGAGTCGCGCGATCACTGTGTGAGTGGATGTCTGGATGCGTAGCCTGGAGGCTAGGCGACCGGTTCCGAACGCGTACCCACTGCGTAACATATAACTCAAGTATGCTGGCCCTGCGCCCTACTACTGCTGAGAGGGTCTATGTCTCCCAGGGTACTGCCGGAACGTACTTGGGTACTATCTAATATGCCGGACCGTACCTCGCCTACTCCACTATAACGAGTCTAGGAAATCGCCTACGCCTACTCTCTAACCCTAACCCTAACCCTAACACTAACCCTAACCCTAACCATATAAAATAGTTACAAGGGTACATTCCGGTATACCGGACCGTACCCAGGGTACGTTCCGGCAGCACCCTGGGGGATATAGACCCTATGATCCCTACTACTGTCTACTACTACTACAACTGTCTGTACACTAGACCCTGTCTCTGGGCCTAAGTACAATATTAAATGTAATCATATACGTTTACAATTGCAGGTCGAGTGACAATGACATTTTTATCTTTCTCACAATATTTGAGGATCAAGGATAGTATTAGTTTGGGACCCCGCAAGTGTGTTTTCGCATGTGTGCTAAACTAATCTGAGGTGCTGAAGTAGGCTTGGGCCATATTTGACCAAAGAATATGCTTCTAGGCTTCGGCCAAAGAATATGTGTGACACCTAATTTTGTTGTAGGATGCTTCACATGGAAATCACGTAGGGATTGAGCTCGCGAGTATAAGTCTGTCATGGCGTTCTCACCGCTGGACAACCTCCGGAGTTTTGCAACTTCACGACCTCCACTGGTCGTATTCATGATTTGCCTTCTGGGCTTTGCTGTCACCACAATGACACTTGCCTACTACGTGAGAAGCAACGAGCTTCGTAATACAGACATTGTGGTACGTTATTGACTGATTGAAACTCTTCTGTGCAACCACATATGGTCCGTGTAGAGTGTTTTGTAAGTTTGTGATTTCTGCAGCATGTGTGGACTGTTAATTTTATTTAAAAGAAATAAATTTGTTATAACGTCTTGAATAGTGCCACATGGCGTCAATATACAGCCATTTTAACTAGCAATCGCTATCATTTTCTAGGACTGGAACATGTTTCTCGACAAGTTTGCGTCAGTCAAATTCTGTATCCATGGCGATACGGCTGAGAGTAGCACCGTCACAGTACCAATGCCTGAAGTGAGACCTTCACTGGTTAACCGTAAAAAGATGTTGAGTGCGCCTTTTCCGGCTAATGCGTCAGTGCCAGTAGATGCGTCTGCTCATGTATACCATACGGCGGAAGACATGAGAAACTATTCTGTGTCAGTGCCAATGGTGATAGGATCCCAGCTGATACGTAGTCTGCAAAATGTTACACACATGAGTGCGACGTTAAATGGTCTCATGCTAGGCATTAGAGGTAAGCAAACAGTATCATGGTCATATATGTTTATTGCTGTGATGCAGTAGAGAGCATGTCACAGTTCGATGTCACATTTCGTGTTTTAAAGTATTGTATATACAATTCCCACGAGGGAGAATTTACAGGTCATGCCTCGAATAAATTTATCCTAATTCATATATTACTTATTTCACCGTAACATGGGCGATTATTTACTTTATTGATCACTGTGAAACTGACCAATATAACAAACAAGCAAACTAACTAACTAACTAACTAACTAACTAACTGAGTGTCTTGCTACTTTCTATATTGAGGCGATGCAGCTAGAGATAACATCAGTGTCGTATTTGAACTACCCAGTGAGAGAAACTACAGCCACTTGTCCAGTGACCAGATGATGACATGTGTGGTGTTCCAGGCACCTGCTAATGTATTTCCTATGACGAGGTACGTCACCTAGCTGTATCGTCTGTTATGCACGATTACGAAGACTGGAGTTTGCAAAGCTGATATTCGAAATTGTCCCAAATATAAAATGTTAATGCACATGTAACATAGTTTATGTAAGATATCTCAGAACTGGAATCTCATTGCGGCATCGATGGCAGGTGTCGTGGTTGGCTTCCTTACTGTCGTGGTGCTTGTGAAATTTGGACGATATCCATAAAAATAAACCATTGAGGGTCCCCTATATACTTAGTATGCCTTCGTCCACTTCCCATATATCCCATCAGGAGCACATAAACTATATTCTGTGCTATGTTGTGTTCATGTTATGGTTTTACTGCATTCAACTACAGTTTGCGCGCTCGTTATCCCATGTATTTCTCTGTCTCACATGAAAGTGCTGGTCTTTAAAAAAAATAAATGGCATTGATAATTTCTCTGAAGGAAATGCTTACTTTGGTTCCCTTCCAACTTGCCATGTTTCCATAAAGCTTCTGAGTAAACTGAAGACATCACTTCCCTTGACCTACGGCATGTTTAATTGGTCCCGTGATATATTGGTAAAAGTGTCTGTTAAGTGACCTCACTAATGGAGTATAATTTCATTGCCCTCTCTGCCAAAAGTATATGTCTAAATATAGAACCAAAATTGTATTACAAAGGGCACCTGAAGGTTGCTGGAACCAGTCACAGTCAGAGGCACAGTTACAGCGTCACCTGCCTATACAAGGTTACAAGGAGACGTTCTTCATTGATAGAGCCTTCTGTGCAAACGGAACTAAAGTATTTGTGCAATACACGTCCAACCCACATCTGACACTAATGCTGACAATGGTAGGCTTAGTAGTATATCGATCGTCTGCGTGCGTGCATATATCTGAACCCAATATATGTGTGTGCGCGTGTCGCAATCGGACCACTAATTCGCAGATGACTAATGGCACGCTGTAATATAGTGCTAAGTGTGCGTTGTAATACCTCTGATGAGAAGCCGTTGTTTTTGTTCACCATAAGTGTTCGCGCATCCGGTGAGTGATACCATCTACTACTGTTGCGTTTTCAGTCGGACAGGTCAATGATTAACCTGCATCTAATGCACACCAGCTATTTCCTTTTTCTGATGGCAATGACGATGATGGCGTATGCACTACTGAAGAACAGTCCCAAGCTGAAGCCTTCGATGCATGAAAAGGTAAGGAGGCGAACGTCTCTCATGGCATGTTAATGCTGAGCTCTCGTAATGGTGGGATTAAGAGCTTGGCATTCGATTCCTGCCTTAATCACTGATATAATATCGATGAGCACTACAGACTTTATCGTGAATGCTGCAGTCGGAGCAGCTACAATTTGGTGCAGAATGAGTTAACTGAGCAGTATATAGAGAGAGCAGATATATATAGAGTATATAGTGTATATAGAGCAGTATATAGAATACATAGAGCAGTATATAGAGAGCAGTATATAGTAGAGCTCTTGGGTAGAACCGAACAGGCCCAATTTTAAGTAGCAGCAGTACACCACTGCTTGGCAATGCACTTTAATACATTGCCTCTATATGATTTTAGGGGCTTGAAACAACCTCTGTATAGTCAGGATACTAAAAATAGACATAGGGATGAGTCGAGCGAAGAGTCTTTGTGACTAGTGGAGAGAAACGTTGGGTAAATGTTATGCATAGCTTGTGTAAAACTGTGACGATTGGAGGAGTAAGATGTTTCAAGCGAGATTTGTAGTTTTTGCACTTTCTTTGTTGCAGCTCGCACTTGATGCCTAATGAGCTAACCCACAAAGCATCGCCAAAGAAGAAGCTGGACGTAAGAAAAGGCTAACGATGGAGAGACGATGACCACACGATGTGGCTGTCTTCACTCTTTCTTCTGATCCTACTTTACTCACGTTTTTATCTCATGTGTATTTTTTGTTGCTTTACATTGTTAATCTGCAATTTGCGAGGAGGTCGGTGCATGTGCTATTTTTTAGACAGATAAACCAGCGGATGCTGTTCTCGAAAACGTTGGGCAGTGGCTATGATATCGGGCGGACAGGTTGCAATATATACTACGTCATGCAGCGAGTGTTGTCGTAGGAAATTTCTATTCGTATTTGATGATTTGTCAGCCATGTCAGTGTGCCCTGTATTGTTCTCTGTGATTGTGACATCTAGTTTGGACTCCCTGCAGCAGGTCGTTGCACCAACTTGCACTCGTGGAACTAAACCGTGAAGGGAAGGCCGCGGCGTAGTGTGGCTCATAGGGTCTATGTCCACCAGGGTACTGCCAGAACGTACCCTGGGTACGGTCCGGTATACCGGAACGTACCCTGGTAACTATCTGATATGGTTAGGGTTAGGGAGTAGGCGTGGGCGACTCCCTAGACTCGTTAGTGGAGTAGGCGAGGTACGGTCCGGCATATTAGATAGTACCAGGGTACGGTCCGGCATATTAGATAGTACCAGGGTACGTTCCGGCATATTAGATAGTACCAGGGTACGGTCCGGCATATTAGATAGTACCAGGGTACGGTCCGGCATATTAGATAGTACCAGGGTACGTTCCGGCAGTACCCTGGGGGACATAGACCCTCTCAGGCGTAGTGTGTGTGTGACAGTATTTGGTAGTACATACAGTGTATGCAAAACTCGAGGGTGTCTTTATTGAGGTGTTTTCATAAAGGGGCGTTATTCCACGAATATAACAACACCTTTAGCTGGTCTAGTCGTAGAATTGTTGTGCAGTAGCTGTAGTGCTTCAGCTGGCCAGGCTAGAAGAAATGTTCTGACCTACCCTCTATAAAGATCTTTCTATTTCCCTTACGAGTATTTTGGATTCATCGTCATGCGTGTGTTATTATTACGTTTCGGAAGTTGGATGATATTTATTCAGATTGTGTAATTCGGATACCTGGGTACATGTAGAATGTTATTGTAGTGGTTATACGCTTGTACGATACCCCCTTATACTTACTGAGCTGTCGTCATTGTTGCACGTGTATAGGTAGGTACAAGGCAGTTTTGCTGGCAGCTGGCCTGTGGGTCCATTACATGAATACCTGGAACTGATGCTGAAATCTATTGTCACTAGATGGGGTAACGTGTCCTGTAGTCCGTTTGTGCTACAATTGTCATGGCAAAGTTTAGCCGGTCTTAGAATGATTGAGACAGTGATACCCCGGTCCGGAAATGTTGAGAAATTGCAGTTATCTTCGTAATTTCCACAGAATTTTCTCATTTTGACACTGGGAGTTGATTCAGTGTTTTATGGCCTCATTTCGGTGTGTATAACTTGAGAGCATCTAAAAATTGTCTGTTTCAAATAAAGCGGTTGGTTGGGTTATGATATAAATTACGTTAGGTAGATGTGACATTTATAGCTTCCACGAGTGTGTATGTAAAATATATTTTTTATTCCTTAACAATCGGGTATATTTACGTTGAGTCATATGTGCAGCTTAGTATGGCTATAAAAGCCATTGCTTAGGTATGTGTGTTTGAGTGCATTTATGGTTTTCCCCATATGTTGATTGAGTCGTTTGTATCACTCCCAGAATCATTAAGACATTATGTAAGGATGAAACTATTACCTTCATAAATTCTCCGTAAATTCTATTTGTGCTCTACCTATCTAAGTTTCATTTACATAAATAATGGGAAAACATCCAAGGTGATATCTTACAGACTTGCAGTGTATTTTATTTAAACGTATTCACGTAGGTAAATACAAATAATAGTTGGCATAGGCATCTCTTGTACGGGTAAAAGAAGAAAGCTGCGAGTTTAAACAGTTAAAAGTCAAAATGGCGACATGTGAGATGTGAACAGAAACAAAGATGCGCTGTTGAACCTGACAATGTAACTTGCGGAAAACTTCATTTAGAAGATTTCGTGCGTATGCACGTTTTGTTGAATACCATTTCGATTAATAACACCAAAGGTTTTTTTTGAGCTAGTACATATGTAGATGGACTGTGTGAAACTCAATCCACGGTGACATCAATGTAATTATTGCGTTCTTACTTCGAGGCGCCACACCAATTGCCTCGTCATGTTCAACCACCATATTTACAAGTGCAGTAAAAATAAACGTTCAAAATATACTAATATCAAATTTGGTTTGTGTTAAAATTCTCGGGGTGTATTGAGTAGAGCTACGTAAAAGTCCCATTGGCTTGACATGACTTAGTCAAGTTTAATGTGCATACCAACCACAGAGTACCGGCACTGTTAGTGTTTAATAATTCTCATCTTCTTGTCTCTATCTTGTTATCTCTGTAGCATACGGTAACAACACATGGGTGGTAAAATCCGTAGGACACAAGAGGCTCAGTCATTATTCTCTCGTAATCGTCAGTTACTAACAAGCGTGATGCGGTAATTTCGTAGATAACGAATCACGACAACATCACACGCTCATTATCTGATTATCCTACTAACGACGTATAAAATGTCAGTAGGCTTCTTGGCGACGCTTCTGCTATTTCGGTAACATCGTTTTCGGTTTTATTGATCGTCGTGCGTTGCATTCACAGAAATAATATGGTAGTTAGACTATATATATATATATATATATATATATATATCAGGAGTAGTTAATAGGGGGTTCTATATAGGGGGGTCTATATATTTCTATGGCCCCCATCGCTCCCTGTGTGATTACGCCTACACATGCACTGATAAGCGATGCAACAGCGGCTTTTTCACTGTGTGGCCTGATCGCGATGTGAAACGTGAATCTCCATTTCTCATTCCGCACGTCTTCTCACTAATTATTCCACATATTGCCTCTTATTGATGTCTCGTACGACCCCTCACAAATATTATTCCGGTTCATGTAACTATTATGAAACATGGCCCTACGTAACATCAAGAGTCCACAATAGACTCTCTAGTATTGACTCTTGGTAACATAATTATAGGTATCTCGTGTTTCGTTGACGTTCAGCATACACTTGCACGTACATACGTGACCATCTGTCGATGACCTATAATAATGTGTCACATCTGATATATCGGCGCGTAAAATAATATTTACAAGAGTACATAATAGAGATGTCTATCATCTAGTCATCTCTATTGCGTACTCTTGATATTAATATGCTTGCCATGTTTTCCTATGACGAATTCGCGTAGAAAGAACTATTCATGATGATACCATTTTGATTAAATTGCTAGTATTAATAACGCTATAATTAATATACAGTTAAATACTCGTGTTTTTCTATATATATATATATATATATATATATATATATATTATATATATATTATATATATAATTTTAATTTTAATTATTAGAAGTTTGTACTAGCTACGCATGTTTTTAGCGCTTCATCGTCGTTGTTGCCAGCGTGGTTGACAGTGCGGTTGCCAGCGTGGTTGCCAGTGTGGTTGCCAGCGTGGTTGCCAGCGTGGTTGCCTTCATGTTCGCCGATGGTGTCGAACGCACGGTTGTAATGGTACTGTGCCTCAGCGTTCTCAAAGCGCTGCTGTCTGCGTCGTGTCGGCATAGGATCCGCCATGTTGTAGCTCTGTGTGATCTTTTTCATGATTTCTGCACACACACACACACACACACCACGGCAGCCATTACCGGATTAACAATAGTAACAAAAGTAGCATTTGCTACGGGCCCCGCGGTTTTAGGGGTCCCCTGGTTTTAGGGGTCCCGTAATATCACGAACTCCGTAACATCTAATAGTTAAATTTTGTTATTATAAAAAATTATTATTTTTGTATACACGTATTAAACCTGATACACGTAAACAATGACGATTGCTGGCGGCGTTTGTTTGTCTATTACAAATGTATTAGATTTCGATTTAGTTAAATTTACGTGTTTTAATATTTGTGTTTTGTTCATTTAGGGCCCCTTTATAACATATATGCTACGGCCCTGACGTCGCCAGCAATTATTATATGTAGATGTTCAGTGGCGAAAGAAACGTGAAGAGGTCCGCATTTATTGTCTAGTCTACGATAACGGGAAGTCGCGTGCGAACGTACTTATCTAAGTCGTCCTTGTCTAAAAAAAAGCACGATGAGCGACCGGAATTAAATACTCTCTTCCAATTGCGTAAGTTTAAATGATTAATGATCGAAATGAAGAAGAAGGTGAGGAATTATATGAATCATTAATGAGGTCGGGTGGTTCGATTTAAAAACGTTTTTCCTCGGAAATAAATCACATATATTATCGAGTCATCAACATATCAACCATCTATCAATCGTGCGTTTTCACACATCGTGCTGCCTGCCTGCACCTATTTTGGGCTGTAAAACTGCGCGCATGATAACACGATCCACTCACCTGCTGCCGGCACTCCGGGAACGGCCGTGTCGCCTGCTGTTGCCGTCACGAACATGTCGAAAACATCCTGGACGCTATCATCCCATCCGTGTCCATAAGCCTCGACGGGATAGGCTGGCTCGCCGTGCTTTGGTATGTCCAGTCCTGCAAGGACGAATAAGAACGATTGTTATCCGCGAGTAACTTCGAACGTCTTTGTAACAAACAATTGATCAGTGGTACATTACTTTCAGCGGGCGGACAACAAATCTCTCTCAGGAATCGACCGAGCCACGACAGGTATAAAGCCGTACCACCCGCAAACAACGCCTCGTTCAATTTTTTTTTAAATCGATAAAGACACGGAGTGAAAACGTCCGCAGTAACCTTGATTCGGTCGACAAATCCTTCCGCTGAAAGGAAAATATTTGCTTACCCTTGAACTCGATCTCGTCGCTGACTCTCAGAAATCCAAGCAGACGCATGCTTCCAAAAATGATAAAACACAAAACGCCGCTCCAAGCGGCGATAGCAACCGCACCGACCATGTTCCATCCCAGTGCCTGCGAAACAATTATTAAACTGCAATGATTCCCAAGACACGTTCTAGCGTCACCCGCGAAGACAATTTACATCATTACAGGATAAAATTATTGCTGTGCACTTATATATATATATAGGATTTTTTTCTGGTTGTTCTTTTTGTTATTTTATTTTAACTGCAGGATATTGAAAATAGAGTGAGCTTAAATCAGGAATGAGTGAACACCGAATTTGTTTTTATTTACTCGTTATTAAATGGATGCGGCGATAATCGCACTCTCAAAAATACATGAACGTCAAAAGCATATAAACCCTAAGATTCACAGTCTCTTGAACAGGTAAATGCTGATGACTGCGAATGGCTGGGGTTGTCGCCAACCCGTGCAGTGAGAACTGCGGGGAAGGTTGATAAAGGTCACCTTGAAGGATGCTCTGCTCCACTCGTACACGATTCCTCCGTTGTTGCTGAATAGGGGCGCGGCGATGAGCCCCCACAGTCCGCCACCAGCGTGCACTGAAACACATACAAACACACGATGATGGGGCAGTCTACCTACTACTCTTACCACCGCAAATTGTCACAGCTGAATTCACCGACAATGCTGGGATTCACGCAAGAGTTACAAGCTCAATATATTCATTCCCATGTATTGGTCTATCTTGCATATATAATTCGCAAGTGAAATAAAAGACCGCAATACGGACTAATAGACTTCTATATCCAATTTGTACGTGGAGTTTTTGGGGTCTCTGTTCCTACGAATTACACTTGCTGATAAATCACAAGGAAGCTACCTCTGTATCAGGAGTGTATAATGACAATGTGTTAGGGTTAGGGTTAGGGTGGCATTATACACTCATGTGTCATTATAGGGTGTCACTCATATATGTGACTGATATGTATGTATATGCATCTCGATACTTTCCTGGTGAGTGATGACTCACATCACTTGTGTGAATCCGCTCGAATGAATTTTACACAGCGAATCCGGGAAGAGCTTTTATAGTTGTCGCGACAATAAACCCGTACCGGCCACAGCATCCAATGGGTCGTCTATTTTCAGGAGCTTGAGCATGATGGCGCTCCACATTAAATAACCGAATCCTGCAAACGTCCCAACGACGGCAGATGCCCATGGCCAATAAACGTTGCATCCGGCGCAGGCGGCAACCTGAAATGGAAAAGCGGTTTCAATCGACATTAAACTTACTGCTCATTTCGGTTGATACGATTTATTATCACGACAGCATCATAACTTTAAAATGATATATAATCGATCATAAAAATAGTTGGCGAATAGACGAAGGTGTAGGAAAGCTAAATGAGGGTCGCTGAAGGATGAAAGCTGTAAATGCAGTATCAACGAAGGAAAGGCAAGAGGAAGATAACGAGATAGATAACGCGGGAGGGTCGGGATTGCGGCAGGGGGCGGTGAAAGAGAGAGGCTCGCTCACCATGCCTGCGAGTGCGCCGTTGAGTGTGATGAGGATGCTCCATCTATGCTGCATGATCAACTTGTTAACGATAAGAACAGTAGCTGCTGCGAAGCTTCCACTGATCACCGTGTTAACCTGCGCGACAACGCACGAAAAATCGCAATAGAAAAGTCATGCACGCTATACATTCTGTCACAAATGTGCCAAGATCGCGCAACAAATTTAACAATTTAACAATTTAAACATTTAACATTGTTTCAAAGTGCGAAGGGTCTGCGAATTTGCGGGGCAACAAATTGTGTAGTAGTAAATCTACGTGACTATACATTTATACGTGGAATTACCATGACTCTTGACACGATTTCACCGTCGCCTTCCTTTGACATGCTTATCAGCGATCCTCCATTGAAGGCCAAAAAGCCGAGGAGCAGTATGAACCCGCCAAGTGCTGCTAACTGCAAGAAGAAGAAGACCGCATGTGAGCTTTCTTGCCTTTACCGTGTGTTCTCTCTATGTTCTGTTATTCGCCTCACAGCCTTCCACTAACTGCACGCACAGACAGACGTACAGACAGACGTACAGACAGACACACAGACACACGCACAGACACATAGACAAGACATCGTACCACATCGTACACTAACGGATACTAAGTAACCCGACTACTTCACGACACTTTTCGTCTCTCGTAAGCGAGTTGCCGAATGGCAAAATTGGTCCAACTCGCCAATTCGCCAACACAAAGTCGGCAGTGTAAACCCAGCTTTACTCCCACCCAACCCCCTCATCTCGCTCAAAATCTCTCTCCACCACAGATGCACGTCTTATCTTTTCTACTAATAATTTCCCTGAATGTGCCTACCGGAACAGAGTGACCTCTGATAGGCACCGGCGTGCGGTCAGCAGTGAACCGGCCTTTACGTGGACCGAGGATGACGGCGCCCGCGAACGCGCAGGTTCCTCCCAGAAGATGAACGACCCCGCTTCCTGCGAAGTCCTGCAAGCAAGCAACGGTTGACAGGCACATCGTTACGCTTGTACTAGATCCATGTCAGTAAAACGTAGTTGGCCACGTCACTTAGTACGTCCTCGGTCTTGTAGCAGTAAACGAAATATATGCGCAGAAATATTTGATAGCTTGCAAAACAACAACTGCAGTAAGTAACGACAAAAACGCGAGAGCATTTTCTCCCACTACTCACGCACGCACGCATGCACGCACGCACGCACGCACGCACGCACGCACGCACGCACGCACGCACGAACGAACGTAACCGACGGTAATGGATTATAGCAAGACTACTGAAAGTGTTCAGCGATGCATCATAACATGATTGTCTGCAGTGCTTCCAGTAAACAACGGAAGTAAGTCTACTCACGGCGAAGGTAATCGCTCCATCGTCCAGTCCGACGAGGAGCCATCCTTCAGGAGCCCACGCCCAGTGAGTGACAACCGGGTAGATAAACGCTGCAGGCAAACAAGGTTAGCACGCGTCAAGGTCGGTCTGTCGCACTGTCTGGCTCAGGAGCAATCACCCTACCCACCAATGCCACGTAACACGCTCCGGCCCTCCCGCCTCCCCCTACACGCGCTCCGGCCCTCCCACCTCCCCCTGCACGCTCCGGCCCTCCGCCTCCACCCACACACGCGCCACCCGCAGGACTCCTTCAATCCTTCAATGGCTTCATACATATTCTTTACCGCCCCACCACGACCACCTCCTCTGCTGCCGCTGCCGCCGCTCGCTGCCGCGGTCACTATCGTCTCCTTTCTCGCACACACACCTGTGATTAGAGAGCTGTAGACGAGGTAGGCCTCGAAGGAGCATCGCTCCGCCACAGCGCCGGACACGATAGTGGCGGCAGTCGCCGCGAAGACGAAGTGCCACAGCCAGAGCGCGTAGTCGGGGTTCGGTATCATGCCGTTGAGGCCGCTGAAGAAGTACGTGTGACCTATGAAGCTGTTGCCCTCGCCGAACGCGAACGAGTATCCGACAGCCCAGTAGCAGATGCCGGCTACAACTGAAACAGACGGTTTACTCATCAACCACACGAGCTGTGTGTAGCCATACACAGAACAACAGAGCTATACAGCTATGCAACCAGCGAACTACACCGTATAGGCTGCTAACTGTCTCGAACTGCGACGTAAGGTGAAGTTACGATAAGTTAGATATTCTACTAGCGAAGACGTCTGTTAGCTAGACCAGAAGCACCCAGCATGATCACTTACTAAATAGCATGAGCAATATAGTGATAGATATATAGACACTTACACACGTCTACCATATTCTTGATGAGGATGTTTGTGGTGTTCTTGCTTCGCACGGCTCCACACTCCAGAAAGGCAAAGCCGCACTGCATGACTGCAA